ACCCTATAATATTTATTCAAACAATTGATACTAAATTTTTTAAAATATTATACATCTACTCTTTATCTGCGGTTTTATATTGCTTTTATGTAAGAAATAACTGTTTGTGTATTATTTACGAGCGCCGCATATTATCTGAAAAAATATGCGATATTTGGCGCCATTCGTTTGCAGCGTCCATTAATCTGGGCAATGAAAATTGGCTTGCATTTCAAAAAGATATCCTCTCTCTCTATAACCCCGTTGTTTCTACCTATCTCGGCTTCATTGTCCGAGGGATGAAATGCTGTTTCAAACTATAGCATAATATATTTTTTTATTATAACTTGCGGATTACTCGATTCGTTTTGTAGGCAGTTTGTGATAAAACGCTTTTCGCTGCCTGCTACAAATTGCCATTTATAACAGTACATGTATATGAAAATAATTAACTAAAATGTTATATTGTATTTACGTCCTGCACTTGTACTTAAACGATAAAACAAAAATCAAATTTTCCCTCGTTATAATATTCATAGACTAAATAATGCTTGTGACAGAAATTTTAAATATTTATTGAAACATTTACCATGAGATGTGCTACAATATTATTTATAAATACTTTACATAGTATCAATAAAATGCAAAGCACACTTAATAATTTAAAATTTGCAACACCGCTTTTAAATGCTATTAATATCTTATCGTCAATTTTAATCAAATATTTTTGTATATCAATAATTATCTCAACTTATAATATTTACTAAAATAGTATACATACATGCTGATATATATTTCACTCAATTTTAGATAAATTTATAATATATTTATTAGGCTCAACTTTTTCTCTTGTCATCTATTTTTATATTATTAATATACATGATTCATTATATAATATAGTTAAGTTATTACTTTCTAATTACATAAAATGAATAACTCGTGCGCGATTAATTTACCTTCAAAATAAAGTTTTTACGTTTCACATCTTTAAATGTCTGCCAAAGAATTAGAAAAGAATCTCTAAACGGAGATCGGGGTAAACCAGCCTACTTGAATAGAGGAGCGTTCACTATGCAGTTATTCGTTTGGCTGTTGCAAGCTATCGGTCGTCCAACCAGCGGTAAATACAAACAGACTCCTAACGGCTAGCAATATCGACAGATATTGACAGACCGGTATAAGGTGCGATCCGGCAATCTGCCTTTCGGCAATGGTGCGCATTAGCTTCGATGTTTGTATTTGGACAGAGAGAAGCGTTGGCTATTGTAATTAGGCACGACACATCATGGAACCCAATCGCGAGGCTCGCCACTCTATATGCGTTCACCCTCGATCCATTTACATTGGTGTCTAAAGTGCATTTCGTTCTTGATGTCCCGAATAGTAAATAAAGGATATGAGAAAAGAGGCTTATTCTTCAACAAAACACTCGCATTTTGTAAACGGGACATTTATCAATATTATAAATCGTTATGGCATTTTAATCAAATTTTAAATAGACTATTTACATCCTTTTCTTTTTATCCGCTCTACATTTTTGTTAAATTAATAAATAATTCCAAGATGTTATAATACAGCGATTATCTTGAAGGCTACGAAATATTTAATAAAACTATAATTATAAAAATATACAATATATACATTTACTTATCTCGGATACTTTTGGGTATTTATTAGCTTTGAAGCCTGAAAAAGGGAAACACTATTGAATGTTGCACTGTCAGAAAATTCTTAACGCGCCTCCATGAATAGAGTGTATAATACGAAGCAAAGCGTGCGTTTGTTGTACAATGATGTAGTCAACTATACGATCTCGGATCAGGTATGCATGTTCATATACAGGGAATGTACTGGTGTTAAGGATTTATTAGCTTCGAAGCCTGGAGAAGGGAAACGCTATTGAATGTTGCACTATCAGAAAATTCTTAACGCGCCCTCCATGAATAGAGTGTATAATACGAAGCAAAGCGTGCGTTTGTTGTACATACAATGATGTAGTCAACTATACGATCTCGGATCAGCTATGCATGTTCATGTACAGGGATTGTACTAGTGTTAAGGATGATGGTGTGGTGACGCGTGGAACCATGGCGTGGCTAGTATGGCGCTGTCTGAACGGTGGCAGAGAGTGCTCGGGGACCGTCGAGCTAAATCACTCCCTAATGGATCGAGCCGCTAATCTCTGATAGACTGCACGCTACCAGGGTTCCTCTCCCCCGTTCTGCTGTATTCTCCCTCTCGTATTCCCCTATGCCCACGTTACATCACCCCGCTTTGTATAGCGAACTATGCGCCGATGCAGCGGAATCAAACACGCGCGCATTGAAGGGCGCGACATTCCCAGCAATAAGGAAGAAATATTCTAGACAATCGTTATACGATGTTCTGTAGTCTTAATGTGTCCAGGCATTTCTTGTTCAACGATAATCGCAATTTAATTTTCTCTGCCACGGTTGCCGAATTGGTCAAGACACCCGTCACGGATTAAGAAAGGTCCCAGGTTCGAATCCTGGCTGAGATAATATTTTTCGCAACAAGATTTCTTTACGGTACGGGGAG